TGGTGCTTTGTTCCAGAGCACCTAGAGTGTAGACTCCCAAGCTGGCAATATCAATGCTGGCAGATACCAAAGCTGACTCCTGCTGCTATTGGGGGAAATATTTCCCAACTGTGAAGGAAATGGCTGTGGGCTGCTGAGAATGGTCAGAAGCCCTAAGGCCTCTGCTTCTGTGGATTCATTGCAAATTCTCCATGATGTTCAAAATTCTCTAGACTTTTTTCCTACTTTATACTCCATAAACATTACATTTAGTTTCTCAAATTGTAGCTGTCTCTGCATCTATGCATCTGAAAGTTTTCTTTCTTCCCCTCTTTTTTTTTTTTTTTTTTTTTTTTGAGACAGGGTATCTCTGTGTTATAACCCTGCTGTTCTGGAATTTGCTTTGTAGACCAGGCTGGCCTTGAACTCATCTGCCTCTGCCTCTGCCTCTGCCTCCCGAGTGCTGGGACTAAAGGCATGCACCACTACCCCCCAGCATCTGAAATTTTGTCTACAATTTCTGGGAATTAATAAATCAATTTTTGGATAATTGGTGTCTTGATTATATTAGACTTTCATTTCCTCGTCATGGTATGCACATACATGGTATTACAATAGAATACATATTGGTTTCCTTGAATTCCTTCATTTCAGCAATTCTTCTTAGATTCATAAAGCTGTTTTTTACCCTTCAAAAATGTTCCTCACTTTGAGACCCAGGAAAACTCAGTACTGAATGAAATAATCATCAAGTCCCTCCCCTCAGGGATCTATGCAAAAATTAGAAAGACTGGAAGAGCCAGAGGATACACCAAGGACATGAGGCCTTCCCAACAAAGCAAGACTGACACACATATGAACTCATAGAGACTGAAGCAGTGTGCATAGACACAAACCCAGATGGGATCCCAGGGCTGAGAGGGCAAGCAAACACGAGTTCCCATCCCTAACCAAGAAGGTTTCTCCAGTTGACAGCCACTCACAAAGGAAAATTTTGTTTTTCCCAATCAAGTGGGTCACTTAAGGGCAGGTTAACAGCAGACAGCAAACTTGAACTCAGTGGTATTTTTGGAGGTTTTTTTTTTTTTTTTTTGTCTCACATTGCTTTGTTTGGGCATTTTTTTAAACCTTACTG